ACTTGGACTTGGACTCACGGTTTTCAACATGTGGAAAATGTCCTCCTTGCCCTTCATTAATTAAAACGTGTGTTTTGACAATTTGTCCTCCAAAAATGCGCCAGTTGTAATTCTGCAAAAAAAGAATTCTATTATTTTCTTCCAACTTTGACTGCATTTATCTCATATTTTTCCTAACGTACCATAGTTTGACTTTTCTGCAGAAATAATCTATGCATGTTTTACTTTAAGAATATGTGGTTCTTTTGGCAAATAATAATGGGAACGGGGTAAAAAACGTGGTCATACAGGGCTACCGACACATGTTTCTGCAGTAAAAAGTCAACCCTAACAGAAATCATGTTGGTTCTGGTTGTTTGTAACAGATTTGCTTTGCGTTATTGGATTTGATGCTTAGTGGTATTTATTAAAGCATTATGGATTATGAATGGTTTTATCGTTGTATGGTTGTGTTCATAAAAGCATACTGAAATAATGAGGGACAAATCTGTTGTGTTGTGCATGCATGTTAGACATGTTGTTTCATTATTACCTTATTGTTTTTGGTTTTGGAAGCATGCTGGTTTTATTGTGAGTTGTGTGCTGCATGGGTCATGGCCTAGAAAGCATGTAGTAGGACTCTGGTGAGAGTTTGGTTTTGTAATGAAGCGAATGGGTGAGTATCAAGGCCAGGAGGTTGATACGTCACTAGTTGGGTGCCGAGGCTCGGGTGCAAAGGTCGGGGATCGATACGCCAATTTTGGTTAAAGATGAGTGTCGAGGCCTTAACTATATGTGGTTAGGGGTCGGTGCAAGAGTTCGAGGCCTTGGCTGTGCGTGGTCAAGGGTCGAACGCCAAGCACTGTAGAGAAGTGTCGATGCCTTGGCTATATGTGGTAAGGGGTCGGTACAACTCGAAGGAGTAAGTTTTGGAGGTAAAGAAAAGAGAACTAGTGAGTTTAAAGAATCTTGACGCCTTGGCTATACGTGGTCAGGGGTTGGTACGACTCAAAGGAGAAAGTCATGGAGAAACAGGAAAGAGAACTAGTGAGTTGAGATGTGTGATGGGTTATGCATGTAGGTTGCATGTTTAGACATGTCTTTATTTTCTTATTATGTAAAGCATGGTGAATTGATAAACATGTCGCTTGAACTTTTTGTAAAGCATATTGTTTGTGTGTGACCTTCAACTATGGACTACTTACTGGGTACCGTGATTGTACTCACCCCTTCTTTTTCCCTCCTGATTTTGCAGGTAACGAGGTCCTCACGAGAACGGTGATGGCGAGGGGGAGACTTGACTAGAGAGACCATATTTCGTGCTACGTTATATTGCTTTTTTTTCTTTTTGGATAGGATAGTTGGAGTGTTACTTAGTGTGAGTTGTTCTTTGGATAATGGATTAGTGTGTTTAGTTTCCTACTTAAAGAATGCTTTAAAGTTGTTGGTTTACAATTTTGAGAACTCTAGTTTTGATTATTTGTTCGAGTTGTGATAATTTGAACTTTTGAGATTGATATTAATTAGATGAGTAGCTTTTGTTCCATTGCCATTCGAGTATTTAAGTTTATCTTAGTGGATAGGTTATAGTGATAAAAATGTTGATTGAGTTGCTTTAATTAATGTTGCTGGATAAAATGTAGTTATTCTCTGTTGATGGTGTTGAGTGAATAGGGGATTTTTAGTAACGTGCCCTCTTTGAGTTGTTTGAAATTTGAGGGTGTTACAGATTTGATCCTTACAGAATACATTGACTCTGACTTCTAAAGTGATAAGTATTCAAGGAAATCCACTTTGGGATCAGTGTTCACTCTTAATGGAGGAGCTATAGTATGGCGAAGCATCAAAAAATGATGCATCGTAGACTCCACCATGGAGGCCGAATATGTTGTCGCTTGTGAAGCAGCAAACGAGGCGGAGTGGCTGAAAAAGTTCTTAACTGATTTGGAAGTTGTTCCAAATATGACTTTATCCGTCACATTTTATTGTGATTATAGTGGTGCTGTGACAAATTGTTGATCCGTTTACAAAGGCTCATACGGCTAAAGTGTTCAAAGACCGTCTAGAAAGTCTAGACCTACGAGATATGTACAATATAGTCTAAGGCAAGTGGGAGACTTGTAAAGGGTATAATGTATGCCCTAGTTTATTATATTAGTACTTTATTGTTCAACCCATTGTTGCCTTTAGCTTTTGTACACCCCATTAGAATGTAGTTCAAGTGGGAGTTTAATGGGTTTTATGCCCTAAACTCGTGGTTTGTAAACATAAAACGAATATTCATTCAATAAAGTTGTTATTGATGTTTCTCTTAGAATTATTGCATTAACCCAAATCCAATAAACTAACATCTGAGGTTATGTCATGTAATTGGAACAATATATAACAGATATACAATATATATTTAATATACAGCGTATATATTTGATATATAGTGTATATATATACAGTCTATATTCGATATACATGTGGATAATGTTCCAATAGTTACCTAAAAGGTCTATAGTATATGGATAAGCTTGGGTACCTTGTCCTAGTAACACTATGGATACGACCACTTTGTAATAGATACGAATGACTTGATCCAGATCGTTCGTGTGGAGACATGCGAGTGGCGGTATCCTTTACAATGAGTTTGTATAAAACCAAACCGCGAGAGAATTAATCTTTAGCTGTAACACCGTTAGCTAATAGATTAATTTTTTAATGGGATGACCATGTAACTCGATCTCAATCCTGAGTGAGTTATGTACGCCTACCTGTTACGGCTCGTCCTTTGATTTGTATGGGTGAGAGTAGCCCAAGTTGCCGACTCAATATTCCTACCATTTTGGGGACGAGACCAAGTGGGGAGTTGGAAACATAACTACCACTCCTCCTCGACTTTAGGATAAGTAGATTGTTCTCTTAAGTGCTGACTTAGGGACTTGAACAACGGGCCCCACCCTCTCATTGGCACGAGAGCGACTTCTGGTTATTGGGTTGGACCATAATTAGTTGTTCATTAGAGGATCAGCAGTACTTAAGGTCCAAGATGTAACACAGTAGTAAAATGGTAATTTGACCCAACTGTGGTTACGAACACTCGTGAAAGATTGACTTACCATTAATGTTCAAAATCCATGGACGCAAAATATTCTACAGTGAGGAGAGTGCAACTGTGGGTCTTTAGTAGAGTTACCAACAGTTAATGAATGTTGATTAATATGGTTAATGAGTTCAATCCATTAATCTCGTATCGTTGGAGCTTCCGATCTGTAGGTCCATTAGGTCCCCTTGCTGGCTAAAGGATAGTTAAGAATATTTAGTCTTGAAAAGAATTTGAATTGTTCAAATTTGTTAACGGGAATTAAAGTTAATTGTATGAGATGCAATTAACATAATGTATGTTGATACATTATAATATAAAGTTAAATTTTGAATTGGATTCAAAATTATGAGAGAGATGGATATTAGAATATGATTATAATACGGTCGATTAATTTATGTTTAATTTGATTAAATATGATTTAATTAAATTAATTAATTTAATGTGATATGTTAATTTGGTTAAATTAAATTATATTTAATTTAATTAAATTAATAATTTTTTTGTAATTAATTAAATTAGATTTAAGTAAATTAAATTAATACTTTTTTTGTAATTAATTAAATTAGATTTATTTATTTATTTAAAATTGCTTTAATTAAATTAAAATAAAACAAAAAAAAATGGGAAGAAAAACCTCCCACTTTCAATGTGGAAAGTGGGGAGGTTTCCCACTTCCCACCATTGGAAGTGAGTGGGGAACTTGGTGATTTTCCCCTCACTCCTCCTTCCCTATAAAAGGGAGGTTCTCCTTATTTCTTTTCAATCATCCAAACCTCGATTGAATGAGTTTCTGAAACTCCAACGAGAAAATCTCTCTCCCGATTTCTCAATTTTTCTTTCAACTATAAGATGATTCTCACAAACCGAGTTCTCAACATCCAGTGGATAGCAAGGAAGACTTTTTGGTGGCGTTATTGGTGTCTTCAAAGGTATGTATCACTAACTTTCGTTTAATCATTCTTATGTCTTTTCTTCGTTGTAATTCTAAAACAAGATCGAAGCACACGCATTCACGCTCTTTCGCTGTGGGATCCGATCCCTTCAATTCTAGTGTTGTCTTAGTTCAGAAAACTAGTTTTCGTTTGCTTTGAAAACATCGTTCCCAAAGATGCCGCCAATTGTTGAGAGGAAATTTTGGAGAGGCCCACGTGTCCTTCAGACGAGTAGCTTTGTATGGGATCAAATGAGCCTGCAACCAGAAAACTCGACGTCGGTGCGGTGTTCCGGCTAATACACTTTGACATCGAAGATATAAATCATAGTAGGAAATAGGAAAAAACAGCTTTAGAGTTTACTGACACATTTTTCACTTACATGGCAAAGGTGATGGTCCTTCCCTTTTATAGGCTCAAGTTGCCGACTAGGAAGGACGACGGTTGGATTGATAAGTGCACGCCTTCCTGCCATCGTAGAGTACTGTGAGTAACCATTTGTGGTCCCGTACCTCACAGATGGTGATGCGTGTCTAGCTCGGTTTTACCCTCAACCATATAGATTTTATATAGATATAGATTTACTGTCCATGTTAATTAAATTTAAAGTTTAAGAAAAAAAATAAAACGGTAAAAGACTTATATCCATTAATTAATATCATATTCCTTAAACTGAGTCTGTTAAAATATTCTGATGTTACTATTATTATTTTCTTTTACAATAAATTATTTGGATATTGTGTTGAAATATTGTGCTTCTAAATTAATACAAAGGATGGAACTGCAAGGAGCTATATTTTATAGTATACGGCGTCGTTTCCTTTAGATGTTGTGATTGAAATGAAACGCCTAGGCAAAATAGGCCACTCAGGCCCAACTAAAATAGTAAACAAAAAGTTAGAGTGGAAATTTAGAATATTTGACGATTTCAGCGGCTACCAAACTCCTAAATATGTTCCATCTCATTCAAAACAAACGGCCTTATGCGTATATAAACCTTCCTTTTACTTCCAAACCTTTGCCCACCACACCAATCACAAATCACCAATCAAAAATCACTATTTCTCCTTTCTTTTTTCCCTTCTTCTCTTCTCCATTTTGCTCTTTTGAACCTCTCTCCCTTTCCAAAGAGGGGAGGGATCACTTCCATTTTTGTACTCTTTTCTTCTTTTCTTCTCTTGCTCGGTTGTTGTTCCATCATGGGTGCTTGTGCTACCAAGCCTAAGGTCAAGGAAGATGAACCCTACATCCCCGCACCCGAACCTGAACCCGAACCCACCCTCGAGATCATGATGAAGAGCACCGAGGAAGTTAAGGTTGTTCAAGAGGACAAGAAGGTCGATGGAACCAATCAAAAGATCAAGAAGGAAGACACCAAGAAAATTGTTGTCGAGGAGGAGAAGGCCCACTCTCTTTCCTCGTTGCTTGTTGAGGTATACCATTAATATACTTTATATCTATAGTCACTTGTTAGATCTCGTTTATTTTTTCTCTCTCTAATGAAATATGTGGAATACCTATTCAAAAAAACAAAGATATCCTAATTCTAATTCTAACATATTAATCGAATTTTTTTTTTACCATTATTAGGAGATCCAACCCTCAACTTTAAGATAGTTCCAATGGACTATGGACAGTTGGCTTATTACATTATTAATTCTAATTTTATTGTAACCTGTTTGGCTTTGGAAACCTATTTGCAGAAGAAAGAAGCTCCCGCGGTAGAAGTTCCAAGTGCAACAAAGGAGGAGAAACTGAAGCCAAAGGTGGAAGAAGCGAAAGCGGAGCCACCGAAGGTTGCGGCGGTGCCCGCCCCGGAACAAATAAAGAAATGTGACGACAAAGCAACGGGAAAGGATGAGAAAAGCGTATGAAATATATATGAGGGAGAAAAAATGAAAGCATATGTGAGCACAAGTTACACTAATTGTGCACTATAATTTGGCTTGTGAGAAGCCTAATTCATTATTTAATATGCTTACTTTAAAGATTGGTGATATTTCTTTGGTGTGGGGGTCTCTGTTGTCTTTGGTACCAATTTATCCATTGAATATTTTAATTTTAAGTGGTTTAATTTGTTATCTATATATGAAATATTTAACCTTTTTCTATTTGCTTCACCATCCTTTGGCTATGACATAATTCATTTTTGTCTTACATTAATCTATAATCAAAGTTCAGGTAAATGTCGAGATCTCAATTTCATGAAAATGTCGATATCAATAGATATTTCTCTAAAAGTTAGAGAAATTAAAAAATTGTAAAAAGTATTTAAATCGACGAACAAACATTTTTCTAGATATTTTTTATATTTTGTCAATTCTTTTTGTAATATGATGGGAATGTCGATTTAATCGGAATGTGGATGGAAATAATTTAAATACATTTCCAGATTCAAAAACTAAATTAGAAACAAAATGGCAAACAATGATATTTTTTTCATATAGTTCAACAAATAAATGTAGGGTGGATTGAATCTTGAGATCTTAAAAAATGTATAACAATGTGTCTTATCCATTGAACTATGGTCGACCTGACACCAACTCTCACCTTGAGAAAGCAATGGAGAATTTTCATCCAATATTTGTTGCTAATCTAGAGAATTCCAATATTTGTTGCTAAGCTCAAAACACACCTTTGCGTCCAACTATTGTCTCATCAGATTTGGTCACAAAATTCCTCCACCACCCCCATAATGCCATGGCTCTATCATATTTAATATTTAGGGTTACATTATTGATCATCTGTCATTAATATTTGTTTGAGCATGGATTCTACTTAGAGAATCAAGAAAGTTTGACCGAAGCATTGCGAATGGAATCTATGCTTAAGTTAGTAAAATGTGATGGTTTTCAAGACCAATAATCGCGTCCTGCGTATGAGTGTATCTGTATTTATACTGTCGAAATGTGGGATCCAAGTGCGCAAGCGATTGGAAATCGTGTACTCATTAGTACATCTTTGGTGGAGTTCGATCTTATGAACGAGGTTCTAAGGTATGATTCCTCGGCTCATAGATTTAAGATATAACATCTCGAACCTTTGAGCAATTCCTCTCTTCATCTGCCACATGGAAAGTCGCTTGATACCACCGAACATTGCCCCCACTTTTAAAAGTTGGGTCACTCAAATTTTCAAAGTATACCTCAGCTTAAGAATATGAAGGTTTGTATTGCCACGTGATAGTTAATGATCTGACTGCTGATGGTGGTGCACTAGTTTGATTATTCGAGGCGGGTCATGCATGATCACTAAAAGGTCAAATTTCGTCCCTGAAAGTCTCTGGCGACGAAAACGTATCGTCGCCAAAATCGTCG